TGATCCGCCCGCCTCAGCCTCCCAAAGTGCTGGGATTACAGGCGTGAGCCACCGCGCCCGGCGAAAGTTTACAAATTTGTGTTGGGCCACATTAAAGGCCGTCTTGGGCCACATGTGGCCCAGAGGCCAAGGGTTGGACAAGCTTGCTCTAAATCATCTCTAGATTACTTTTAATACCTAATACAATGTAAATACTATGTAAACTGTTGTACTGTGTTGTTTTTATCTGTATTATTTTTTATTGTTGCATTGTTATTTTTGTTATTAACATCTTCAATCTGAGGTTGGCTGAGTCTGTGGGTGCGGAACCCGCAGATGCAGAGGGCTGACGGTACTTGTACACCAATGTTCTTGGGGACATTCTTCGTAGTGGCCAAAGGTGAAAACAACCCAAGTATCTATCAACAGATGATTGGGTAAACAAAATGTGATATATACACAATAGAATGCTACTCATTACAATAGAATGTTACTCCGTAAAAAGGAATGGAGTTCTGACATTTGCCACAACTTGGAGGAACCTTGAGGACATGTTAAGTAAAATAAGCCAGACACCAAAAAACAAATACGATATGATTCTACTGGTATGAAGTATTTAGAATAGATAAATTCATAAAGACTAAGTCCCACAGAGGTTACCTGGGCTGGAGGGGAAGGGGGAAGGAGTCACTGTCTGAACAGGCTGAGTTTGTTTGGTATGATAAAGAACTTCTGGGAGTGGATAGCGGTGACATTGCACAATATTGTGAATGTACTTAATGCCACTCTGAATTGTACACTTAAAAACAGTTAAAATGGTCAATTTTGTGTTATTTATATTTCACCACAGTTTCTTACAGAAGCGGGCACAGGACGCAGTGGCATGCAGGTGGGCAAGCGCCTTGGCAGGAAGAGTGACCGTGGTGAGGTGCTCCAAGGCCAGATGCAGGGGTGAGCAGGAGTAGGGGGTAAATAGACTCTTCCAGTCCTAGGCTACAGGAAGTCAGAGCTGGGAGAGCCTTTGGAAGTCTTTGATCAGTTCCAGCCCTTCTGTGAGAGATGGGGAAACTGAGGCTCAGAGAGAGGCAGGAACTAGCCCAGGAATTCTAGAGCTAGTTGAGGCAGACCTGACCCTCATGCAGCCCCTTCCTTCTCTGTGCTTAGCTGGGAGAGTGACGAGCGAAGCTAATGGGGGAGAGCAGGTGTGACGTGACCTTCACAGAGGTCAGAGATGGAGCCAAAGGAAGAGGCCAGGGTAGGGTAAAGACCTCAGGCAGAGCAGCTGGGTCAAGCCGACTGGTCTGTGCACTTGTCAGCACAGACCCCAGGCTGGGCACCCTGACCCTGACAGCTCAGACCTAAGGGCTGAGCCACCTCCCCTTGAAATCTCCTGAGCATCATGCTACCCCTTTCCCATCCCTCCACAGTCCCCTCCTGATCCACAGTGGCCCCTGTCGGCCCCTCCCCAGCCACCCTCCAGAGTTTGTTCTCAGCTCAGCTCTACTGGCAGCTGACTTGCTTCTTGTGGGCCTGGTGTGCATTTTTCCTCCAATCTCTAAAATGGAAGTTCATGGTGCTCGCCCAGTTGTGAGGACCAAATGACACAGGGACAGTGGAAGGCTTTGGTGACAGGGAATAAGATCCTATTGGTAGGCAAAGGGGCATAGAGTTCCATCTTGGCCACTGACCTTATGAGCATCTTTGGGCTCCATTTTCTCTCTCTCTTTTTTTTCCCCCAGGCTGGAGTGCAGTGGTGTGATCTCAGCTCACTGCAACCTCTGCCTCCCAGGTTCAAGTGATTCTCCTGCCTCAGCCTCCTGAGTAGCTGGGACTACAGGTGCCTGCCACCATACCCAGCTAATTTTTGTATTTTTTAGTAGAGAAGGGGTTTCACCATGTTGGCCAGGCTGGTCTCTAACTCGGGCCTCAAGTGATCCACCCGCCTCAGCCTCCCACAGTGCTGGGATTACAGACGTGAGCCACTGCAGCCGTCTTGGACTCCATTTTCTTATTTCCCCCGTGAAGAGTCAGAACAAAGCATGGCATAGCCGAAATAACTAGGATCTAAGGGTTAGAGGGGCCAAGTTCCAACTAAAGTCTATCCTACCTCTTACTAGCTATGTGATCCTAGGCAAGGGAATTTTCCTCCCCAAGTCGGCATTCACATCTGTCAAATGGCAACAATGAGTCCCATACTGGAGCTGATCTGAGGCTTCCCCCAACCCCTGGAGGCTGGTGGGCACCACGCGGAGCCCGGATGGGGGCAGGAGAGAGAACCTACCCGCACAGAACACACCCTTCACTCCACTTCTGAAGAGCAGGACACGCACTTGCCGGTCCTCCCGCAGCTGGGCCAGAGTTTCCAGCAGCTACAGAGGACACCCAGTTAGATCCTCCCAGCCCATCCCCAGCCCATCCTCAGCCCATCCCCAGCCCACCCTTTCTTACCTCACTGACGAAGACGTTCCCCAAGGCATTGCGGGCACGAGGTCTGTTCATCAGAATCTCAGTGATCCCTGTAAGGAGTCAGGGCAGCCATGGGCAAGTAGCTGGCTCTGCCTAATCCTGGGCTGTGGGCTGGGGACTGGAGGCAGGAGGCCTGGGCTCTGGGCAGCCTCTGCCCTAGATGACCAGAGTGACTTGGCACAAGTCACACTCAGGCAGGCCTCAATTTTCCCAACCATAAAATGGAGGGAAAACCCCTTGCTCTTTCTGCCTCAGAGAGAAAGTGGAAGGGCTTGTAAACCGTGGAGCAAAATGGGGAGGGGAAGAATGACCACCACAGTAGCCCTCGCCTGCTTCTGCCGTTGTTAGACAGTCACACACACACAAGCATACCTGCACCCGTGCACCTTCTTTAATTTTACAACTCCCTCCCTCCATATTAATCTTTTCTTTTTTTTTGGCGGGGGAGAGTTTTTCGTTTTTTCTTTTTAGACTGGGTCTCAACTCTGTCACCCAGGCTGGAGTACGGTGGTGTTAACATGGCTCACTGCAGCCTCGACCTCCGGGGCTCAAGCAATTCTCTTCCCTCAATCCCTGAAATAGCTGGGACTATAAGCATGCGCCACTACCCCTGGCTAATTTTTGTGTTTTTTTTTTTGTAGAGACGAGGTTTCGCCATCTCGCTCAGCCTGGTCTCAAACTCTTGAGCTCAAGTAATCAGCCTGCCTCGGCCTCTCAAAGTGCTGGGATTACAGGTGTGAGCTACCACACAGCCTTAATCTTTTCTTCACAGCAGACTTCTTCCTCTAGAGTGTGAGGAGTTATAAGGCCAATACTCTTAAAACCACCACCCAAATCAAGAAACAGAACTGTGCCGGCCACCTCAGGAACCTCACCACACACCCTGATTCAATCATAGCTCCCTCCTTCCCCCTGAATAAGTAGCTCTTTGACTTACAGTAATCACCTTTGTATATTTCTTTATAATTTTTTTTTTGAGACAGAGTTTCGCTCTTGTTGCCCTGGCTCACCACAACCTCCGCCTCCTGGGTTCAAGTGATTCTCCTGCCTCAGCCTCCCGAGTAGCTGGGATTACAGGCATGTGCCACCACGCCCGACTAATTTTGTATTTTTAGTAGAGATGGGGTTTCTCCATGTTGGTCAGGCTAGTCTCGAACTCCTGACCTCAGGTGATTCACCCACCTCGGTCTCCCAAAGTGCTGGGATTACAGGCGTGAGCCACCAGGCTTGGCCATTTCTTTATAATTTTATCACCCAGGTGTGCATCCTTAGGTATCATAGTTTAGATTTGCTAATTTCTAAAATTGCCATGTGTCTTTTAAGCCCTGTTACAATCCTGACGTGCTCCCCACGACCCTGTCTTTCCCTCAGAGATTATCTGTGGAGGAGCCTGGTGCATTTCACCTATAGGGTTTCTCAAAGCCTGGGTTTTGCTAACCGCACAGTCATGGGGACAGATCAATATGATCCTCTATCATAAGAAGTTAGCAACTAAATACAGAGGCTTGGTGTTCTGTCCTGTTTGACAAGACAGTAACCCTGGCCCCACCTGTGTAATGTACTTTCACCAGCAACAGCCAAGCTTCTTGCACAGCATATTTTAGTTGGTCAGCTACAGACCACGTATAAGACATATAAGTCCCATCAGATTATAACGGAGCTGAAAAATTCCTATTGCCTGGTGCCACTGTAGCATCATAGCGCAATGCAACACACAAATGCTGGTGGTGAGGCTGATGTAAACTAGCCTGCGTTACCAGTTGTACAAAAGCACAGCACATACAATTAGGCCCAGAACATAATACTTGATAATGATAATAAATGACTATGTTTTGGGTTTATATAGTTACAATATTATTTTTTACCATTATTTTAGAGTGTACTCCTACTTTTTATTTTTAATTTTTTTGAGACAGGGTCTTACTCTGTTGCCCAGGCTGGAGTGCAGTAACATGATCATGGCTCACTCATGGGTCACTTTGGGCTCACTTGCAAATATCAGGAATCCTTGATATCGGACAGCCTTGACCTCCCCGGCTCAAGCCATCCTCCCACCTCAGCCTCCTGAGTAGCAGGGGCTACAGGTATGCACAACCATGTCTGGATAATTTTTGTATTTTTTGTAGAGAAGGGTTTCACCATGTTTCCCAGGCTGGTCTCAAACTCCTGGGCTCAAGCAATCTGCCCGCCTTACTTACCCTCTCAAAGTGCTGGGATTACAAGAGTGAGCCAAGTGAGCCACTGTACCAGGCCTGGCTGAGTGTACTCCTACTTAAAAAAAAAAAAAAAAAAAGGTTCAGTGTAGCACAGCCTCAGGCAGGTCCTTCAGTAGGTGTTCCCGATTATTATCATGGGAGATGACAGCTCCATGCATGTTATCGCCCCTGAAGACCTTCCAGTGGGACAAGATGTGGAGGCGGAAGACAGTGATAGGCCTAGGCGTGTGTGTGTGCTTGTGTTTTTGTTTTTAACAAAAAAAAGTTTAAGAATTAAAACTTTAAAAAGCTTACAAAATAAGGATCTAAAGAAAGAAAATTTTTTTTTGTACAGCTGTACAATGTGTTTTAAGCAAAATGTTACTACAAAAGAGTCAAAAAGTTGAAAAAAATTAAGTTTATAAAGTAAAAACAGAGTAAGCTAAGGTTAATTTATTATTGAAGAAAGAAACATTTGTAAAGTAAATTTACTGTAGCCTAGGTGTACAGTGTTATAGAGTTTACAGTAGTGTACAGTAATGTCCTAGGCCAGGTGTCCCCAACCCCCAGGGCTGTGGACCCATCCCAGTCTGTGGCCTGCTAGGAACTGGGCCACACAACAGGAGGTGAGCAGCTTCATCTGTGTTTACAGCAGCTCCCCATGGCTTGAATTACCGCCTGAGTTCCACCTCCTATCAGATCAGTGGTGGCATCAGAGTCTCATAGGAGTATGAACCCTATTGTGAACTGTGCATGTGAGGTATCTAGGTTGTTGCACGCTCCTTATGAGAATCTAATGCCTGATGATCTGAGGTAGAACAGTTTCATCCCCAAACCATCTGTCCCCCTGCAGGTCCGTGTGTTTTCCATGAAAACAGTCCCTGGTGCCAAACCAGTCCCTGCTGTCCTAGGCCTTCACATTCACTCACCGACTCACCCAGAGCAGCTTCCAGTCCTGCAAGCTCCATTATGGTAACTGCCCAGTACAGGAGTACTATTTAAATAATCTTTTCGACTGTATTTTTACTGTGCCTTTTCTATGTTCAGATACACAAATACTTACCATTGTGTTACAGCTGCCTACAGTATTCAGCCTAGTCCCATGCTGTCCAGGTTTGTATTCTAGGAGCAACAGGCTATACGCCACGTAGCCTCGGTGTGCAGTAGGCTATCCCATCTAGGATTGTGTAGGTACACTCTGTGATGCTCCCACAATGACCACATCACCTAATGATGCATTTCTCAGAATGGAGCCCCGTTGTTAAGCAATACATGACTGTATGAGAAATAAAGCCGCTAAGAACAGTGAAGAGTGGTTCACCACCCAACCTCAAGTTCAAGGGCAGCAGGTAAAATGTAACAGTACTCTGGTGCCATCAGCCCCAGTGGAAGGCAGAACCTGCAGCTTCTAATGTGAACATCAAATGACCCCAACTCATTCCCTGGGAGGGCTCGGTGTGTGATCTCGTCCCCATGCCTCCTCCGCGCTGTCATCTTGGTTTCTGTCTCTCCTTCTCTCACTGACTTTTCCTGCCCTTCGTGCTCTCTGGCAGGGGCAGAGGCTTAATCTGCTGATCCCTGTCATTCTGTTTTGGATAAAATGATTCCCGACATTTGCAAGTGAGCCTAAAGGTCTTTAACCCATGATACTTTTGTATTTACAGATGTACAAGTCTGTATTTTGAGTCACCGAATTACTAGAAGAGCCAGTGATTACCTAATGGTTGAGAACACAGGCTTTGAAATCAGACCTGATTCAAATAACTTAACCTTCTGTGTCTCAGTTTTTAAATCTGTAAGTGGGGAGAATAATCTTGACTGTCTTTTTTTTTTTTTTGAGACGGATTCTCACTCTGTCACCCAGGCTGGAGTGCAGTGGCGCAATCTCCACTCACTGCAAGCTCCGCCTCCTGTGTTCACACCATTCTCCTGCCTCTGCCTCCTGAGTAGCTGGGACTACAGGCGCCCACCACCTCGCCCCGCTAATTTTTTGTATTTTTAGTAGAGGCGGGGTTGCACCATGTTAGCCAGGATGGTCTCGATCTCCTGACCTCAGGTTCCACCCGCCTCGGCCTCCCAAAGTGCTGGGATTACAGGCGTGAGCCACTGCGCCCGGCCTAATCTTGACTGTTTTAAGAGCTGTTGCCAGTTGGGTAGTGAACTAAGCATGAGATTGGGGGTATAAGGTTCAGCAATCCCACCTGGTCAAGGAAATTCTCATCAAGTGGGACACTAGGTGGCCTGTCCGTGTCCACTGAAGGTGGTAGATGCACACTTGGGAACAGTGGGCAACAGCAGGGGGCAAGGAACTGGATTTTATGGCAAAGCCCCCCTTCAAACTTGGTGTTAAGCCAGTAAAAAGGAAGCAATACAACGAAATGTACAGTACAATGCCATCTGTGTATCAAACGCAGGGAACAGGGGATGAGATCGGGGGAGGAGACCCAAGACAGGAGAAGCAAATGAGGAGCGTTTTCAGCATCACTGAATGCTCCACAAGTCCAAACAACAAAAAAAACGCAACAGGCGATCGGAGGCGTTTTCTGCCAGTGACTCGTGAACTTTGACCGCCCCCTCCCCATACTACTCTGGATCTTGGCCAAAAGACAGAGAAGCAGCAAACTTTTCTCTGGAGCCAGATGACGCAAAAGTTCGCCAGCGGCCCAGGGCAGGGGCGCAGCTGGAGAAGCACCCTCCTCACTCCGCCCTGCTGCCGCACTGGGCTCCCAGCTGTCGCCGCACGCCTCCCGGGATTGGCTCCAATGTTTCCACCCCCGAACCGGGCCAGGGCCCTTGGCGGGGGAGGGGGACGCGCACTTGACAGCTCCTGGCCTGGGGGCCGCTGGGCCCAGTCCTATCTGTGCGGACCCCGCTCCCCTTCCACGCAGTCGGAAGACCCCAAAGGGCCTTTGAGGAGACCGAGGTTGCCAGAGGCCTCCCGCCCCCAGCTACAGTCCGGAGCCCCTAAGGCGGCCGCCCACCTCTCGGGCCTGGAGCGGCTTGGGGCGCCTAGAACTGGGATGGAGGGAATGGAGATCGAATCCTTCAAGGCACTGAGCAGCCCGCCTGCCCGCCCCCGGCTGCCTCCGGGCCGGCTTCGTTCCAGTCGCGTCATGGGCGCCCCCCGGGACGGCGCATTTACCTTGGTCCGGACCTGCCAGGGCGCGCACTTGGATCTCGGAGCCCGCGGCCGCACCGTCGGAAGCGCAGCCGCGGGCCCAAAGGGGCCTCCAGGGGCGCAGAAGGCACAGGACGCGCAGCATCGGGGCGCAGGCTGGGAAAGAAGGCGCTTCTTGGGTCCTGCACCGTCTCGGCTCCCGCTGAGAGCTCGCAGTTCCGGCGACGGGCGAAGCCTTCGTCAATTGCTCCACCTATGGGCCAAGGGGCTGTTGCCTCCGTCCGCACCTCTTGGGGACAGGGAGACTTGAGCAGAGGAGGTGGGGGGAAGCCCAGCTCCTCCATGTGATTTGGGGTAACCCTGTCAATCTCCCAGCGTCAGTGTTTTAATCTTGTAAAAGGGGATAATAGTGAATACCCCGTGGTGGTGTGAAGATTAAATGGGGTGTGAACCTTGCTTGCACATGTGCTCAATTTCATTTTTTAAATGAAATGACATTTAATGAGTCCCTTGAGCGTGTCTGCACTCGCGAACTTCACTGCCTCACCTCCCGTTTGCGCCTCATTTTGTTTTTGTTTTTGAGACGGAGTCTCGCTGTGTCGGCCAGGCTGGAGTGCAGTGGCTTGATCTTGGCTCACTGCAACCTCCGCCTCCGGGTTCCTAGCGATTCTCCTGCCTCAGCCTCCCGAGGAGCTGGGATTACAAGCGCGCGCCACCGCGCCCAGCTAATTTTTTTTGTATTTTTAGTAGAGGCAGGGTTTCACCATGTTGGCCAGGCTGGTCTCAAACTCCTGACCCCAAATGATCTGCCCTTCTCGGCCTCCCAAAGTGCTAGGATTACAGGGATGAGCCACTGTGCCAGGCCTGTGCCTCAAATTTAATGGAAGTAAATTTAACTTGAGTCCCAATTTAGTGCTCAATAAGTTGGGTCACAAAAATATTTGTGAATGTGAATCTCTGGCTTCTAACCCCATTGTCCACCCAAACTGCCTTTGCAGAGGTCAGCAGTAGCCTTGTTTAGTTCATTCAGGGTAGATCAATAAAAGTATTCAGTGCATACTCTGTGTTCCCCAATCTCCTACTTGGGAGACATGTCAAAGATCCCAAAGCCACTAACAATCCTGGCCTGTTGGTTAAAAACATCAAATGGTGAAAGCATTAAGGTTCATTTTATTCAATCTTACGAAAGATTGTAAGCCAGGAGGAGTCTTGGAGAGAGTTTTGATCAGACTGCTCCAAAGCCGTGTTTCAGCCCACAGCTTATATACAGGTTGTGGAGGTTTTTCATGTGCTCAGAAATTGCATCAAATGTACTCAGAAGTTACATTAGAGAAAAATCTTTTCAAAGTTTTGGCCTGAGAGTACAGCTGATAATAGAGTACAGAGGAATAATCATTAATCTTGTCAAATGTTATTTTAGATACAGGAAAAGGCAAGGGTTAGGATCATTGAATTTATCTTTTCTTGCTGTTTTGTTTTGTTTTGTTTTAAGAGACAGGGTCTCACTCTGTCACACAGGCTAGTGGGTAGATAGGATAGCACAGTGGCACTATCACGGCTCATTGCAGCCTTGACTCCCTGGGCTCAAGCAATCCTTCTTGTTTACTTCTACTTAATTTAAAAAATTTACCTAGATTATTTATAACAACTGAGATATTAGGCAAAACTAGTCATCATTTCAAGTTGTTTTCTGGTTAACCACTTTTATAGCCTGTTAATATCAGGTTTTTACTTAAGTAAGAATCTTAAAGTTGAATACTTGGGTATTTTGCCAATAACTCAGAAGATTCAGCTGTTTTCATTAAACTAACAATATTAAATTAGACTTGATTATAAAAAAATCACACAAACAAAAATTATTATATCTTGGGCTGGATTTATAGTTTTATAAACTTTGTGCCAAACTCTGACACCTTAAAATATCTAGCAAAGGCAAATATAAAACCGTTAAACCACTATACCCAGGCAAAAATGTATGCTGACAATTCTGAAGACATTTCAATTCTGAAACGTTTTCATTTTATTTTATCAACAATTTAAAACCCAGCTTATTTATTAAAGATTTACTTAAGTAACAAGAGCGTGGAAAATATTTGGATTTACTAATTTAGGAACACTTATTTATTTGCAAGTCAATTTGGTGGTACCAAGTAGACAAAATAGATACTGATATGTACATATATGTAAACACATCTAGATACATACACACATACAAATAAAGAGCTTATATCTTTCACTTAAGAATTTTAGTCAGGAGATAGTGATACAAACTCACTGGTTTATAAAAGACAGTTGGATCCAAATTGTTTTTTTAAATAAAATTGGGACTTGATTTATGGCTAAACTTTATTTGCTCCAATAGGTCATCTAATGAGGGACCAAAATTTTGAAAGCTATAAGGTCTTTATTTGTATGTATCTAGATTTGTTTACATATATGAACATATCAGAATCTATTGTGTCTTCTTGGTACCACCAAATTAATTGACTTAAAAATAAATGAGTGTTTGTGAATTAGTAAGCCCACATATTTTCACTGGAGTTTGATTTTAAAAACCTCTTTTGCCCCTTCTTTTCCCTTCAGTTTCAAATGAGTTTATGGTTAAATTTTGAGTGTTTACATTTTAACTAGAACCAGCTTAATTGCATAAGAAAAACAAAATCTCCATGTAGCCTGGAATTAGTAATACCATAAACAGTGAGTTTTGGCCGGGCGCGGTGGCTCAAGCCTGTAATCCCAGCACTTTGGGAGGCCGAGACGGGCGGATCACGAGGTCAGGAGATCGAGACCATCCTGGTGAACACGGTGAAACCCCGTCTCTACTAAAAAATACAAAAAAACTAGTCAGGCGAGGTGGCGGGCGCCTGTAGTCCCAGCTACTCGGGAGGCTGAGGCAGGAGAATGGCGTAAACCCGGGAGGCAGAGCTTGCAGTGAGCTGAGATCCGGCCACTGCACTCCAGCCTGGGTGGCAGAGCCAGACTCCATCTCAAAACAAACAAACAAACAAACAACAAAAACAGTGAGTTTTATCTCAACATCAATAGAAAAGTCAACAGATTAAAAGTAGTCAGGGAAAAATATAGTGAGATAGAGAACTTAGAAGACTCCACATTTTAACTCTGTAGTTGCAGGTTGCTGATTTGAACTCTGAATTTTCCTTGATGTAAGTCGCCCATCAGTTTAAAAATGTACACAAGAATGGGCCATAGTATGCAGCCAGCTGGAGTTCCAGAAAATATCTTGGCATGTCTTTGAACTTTCCTGGGCTAATTTAATCTAAAGCCTTAAATAAAGTAGGAATTTCTCCAGAGTTTGTTTGTTTAACATGAAAGCCACCAGAGCATCAGAAGGTGGCTGATTAGAGACCATTCCCTTAGAACATGGGTTACCCACTGCACTGACCCAATGAAGGCATCCCTTCCAGTGCCCTTAAATGTGAACATACTTACAAAATCAGAAACATGAGCATACCCCACAAAGCATGAGCACACCCTGCAAAAATGTGAGTGTACCTCACAAAGTGTGAGCATTTCCTGCAGGGCCCTAGATAGGGTCAGGCTCTCTGAAGAAAACAAAGTCTCCAAGACTTTCACCTAAAAATCAGAGGTCTTGGATCAGAGAGGGCTTACCTGATTTCTCCCCAGTGTACATGGGATGACAACTGAGCTCAAGGGGCTTTTGCAGGTGCTGATGCATTCGTCTAGATGATGCTTGGAAGGAGCTAGGGGCCACTTTGTATCCTATCTTCCCTGCCAAGAAATGTTAACAAAAGATCATGAGATCTGTGGAGGAAAAAGAGAAAGCTTCATTTTCTTTCTTTCTTTTCTTTTTTCTTTTTTTTTTTTTGAGATGGATTCTCACTCTGTCATCCGGACTGGAGTTCAGTGGCACAATCTTGGCTCACTGCAACCTCCGCCTCCCAGGTTCAAGTGATTCTCCTGCCTCTGCCTCCCAAATAGCTGGGACTACAGGCGTGCGTCACCACGCCCAGCTAATTTTTGTATTTTTAGTAGAGGCGGGGTTTC